GGGGGGGGGATTCCCTTCAGGAGGAGGCCTCGGCGGCAGGCTCGGCCGCGGCCGTCGCTGCGGCCTCTGCAACGGCCTCGGCTGCCGCAATCTCCTCGGCGACCAGCCCCGCGATGGACGGATCCAGGGCCAGGATTTCGGCGCGCAGATCAGCCAGCGCCTGGTTGGCCGCACGGATGCGCTTGCGCGTGGCCGGGAAGATGGGCTCCAGCTCCAGGAGGGACCCATCGCGGGAGTGCTGGAAAATCTCGGCCATCAGGATCGGCGCCCGATCTAGGGGATCGCGACTTTCCAGGTTCAGGGTCGGCTTGTCCCGGCTCTCGAAGCGCACGGGCAGCCAGAAGAACCGATCCAGCGGGAGGGGGGAAGTGATGTCCTGGTCGGTGTAGAGATCGCCGAAAGCGTTTGGCTTGTTGGGGACCGGGGCAACGGGGGTCAACCCGAGGTCGTGCTCGGCGGCCTGGCGCTCGAGGGCCTCCTGCTCGGCCAGCTGGCGCCGCTCGGCCTGGCGCTCGCGCTCATGCAGGTGGTACGAGGTGTACGTCAGGAGGAGACCCCCGGCCAGGCCGGCCTGAACGGCCAGCGCCTGGCGCGAACGAGATGCCTGCTGCAGGTGTGCCAGCAGCCCGAAGCACAAGCCCATGGCTGTGGCATTGGCGGCGGCATTGTAATGCGGTGATAGGAGGATGCTGCTGAAGCGGTGGTGCAGATCGTGACGCAAGAGCTGCAGCCGCGAGAAGTAAATGCGCTCGTCGGCCGGCAGGGGATCCGGCGCCGGGGTCCCGGGCGGCGGGAATTCCCCGAAGCCAACCGCCAGCCGGGGAGACTTGAGTGATCCGGAATCCAGGCCATCCGACAGGGGGACCGACAGGACCTGCTGCGCCACGAAGAAGGCACTGAAGGGAATCAATGCCACCAGTGTCTGCCGGTAGAATACTCGCGCCAGGATGGTGGACGCGCCGTAGGGCGTGGCCGACACCAGCAGCGTGGACCCAAGTCCAAAGAGCCCGGCATAGGGGCCGGCCTGGAGGAGGCACTCACCGAGCGCGCGCACCGCCTCCCGCAGCCCCTCGGTCGTGGAGGAGCCACTGAAGTGGCTCCGCGGGCGAGAGCCAGGCTGGAGGAAAGGATCACCCTCGGTAGCAGGCATGTGTGGGCGTCGTGGGAGGGGGGAAGAGGAGAAGCGAGGACGAACGGAAGGGAGGGTGGGGGATGGGGGGTGGGTGAGAAAAGAAGAGGGGGAGGGCTAGACTGGGATAATGTGTGTGTCCGGGGCCCGGGGGTGCCTTTGAATCCTGCACCAAGTTGGGCCGCCCTCTCTCTCTCTCTCTCTCTCCCCTTCTCGCGCTCTCCCTCCCTCCTGGGTGCGCAGGTGGCCTCTCCTACATGCTCGGCGAAGAGAGTACAGGGGCAGGGGCGCGATCGAGCCCACCCAAAGAAGACCGGAAGGCCCTGGAGAGGGGGAGGTGCAACACACACACACACACACACACACACACACACACACACGCACGCACATGTTCGGCGCTGCGTACGATTCGATGCAACCAACTTCACACGCGCGCAAAAAAAGATGGTGCGGCGGTATGGACATGTGACTAGCCGGCTACATATGCGCGACACGTGATGTAAAACTATATTTATACAAGGACACAAGGACACACGCCATCTCAACGGGGGGTGGGGGGGTGGGGTGGGAGAGGGGAGATGGGAGGGCAGGGGCGAGTGGAGGGTGGATGTGGGGCGAGATGGTGGTGTAGGAGAGAGAGAGAGAGAGAGGGAGGGAGAGGAAAGGAAGACATGTGTGTGGGGCACCAGATGTGAAGAGGGACGGGGAGGGGGAGAAGGAGTGGGGATCATGTGTGTGCGTCGATGGAGGGGGGGGGGAGGAAGGGGAGGGGAGATGGAGAGCGATAAGGGAGAAGAGAGAGAGAGAGAGAGAGAGAGAGAGAGAGGAGGGGGGGGGAGGGGGGGCAGTGCATATGCATCCCAGGAGCAGTGCGCCCGCTGTTCGCGACGGCGATCGTGCATGCAGGTGGCCGCCGAGAGGGATGCTCGCAGAGATGCCAGACATGCTTCCCTCCTCAGCCCCTCGGCCAATACTGTCTCTTTGCCCTGCGTGTGGGCATTTTGCCCCGCCAGGGGTTCTCTACTCTGCTCGCTCTCGCCTCGCTATGCCGAGGAAGGAGGGGGGAGATCGCGCGCGTTCTACTACTCTCACGCGCGCGCGCGCGCCCCTCCCAGTGAGGAGGAGGGAGGTGTGTGACCTTTCCAATGCGCCGGTGCCGCCTCTGCTGCTGCGACCGACCAAGCGCTGCATATGCACAGGGAGATGCATGCTCTGTACGGACGCAAATGGACATGCCATGCGCATGCGCCACGCGTGCTGGGCAGCAGACACGAGGAAGGAGGGAGGGGGATGGGGGGGGGGGAAAGAGAGAGGAGCAGAGACTGGGGAGAGGGGAGGATGGAGAACGGCGAAGCTCGATCACCAGAGAGGGATGTGTGTGTGGTGTGTGTGCGTGTGTGTGCGTGTGGGGGGAGGGGGACATGCGCGCGCCGCGATGGGCTGGCACGCAGAAGCACAGCGGGGCCGCGCCAAGCATTATGTGGACCCGGCCTCGGCTGCGGCAGCCGCGCGGGCAGCCGCGGCCCGCGCGGCAGCCAGACCGGACGGCTGCCTGGTCGCACGGCCGACATTCGGAGCCGGCTGGGCAGGCTGCTCGCCGGCGGCAACCGCGGCGGCTTGCTGCTCGTCATGCTGCACCTGGCGCTGAGCCGCCTCATCCAATGACCCACCAGTGGCCGGGCCCAGACGGTAGACCGTCGACACCCGGCGCACCAGGCCAGTTGAGGTGGCCGTCAGACCGGTGTTCGAGGGGGCGTGGAGCATGCGAGCCGCAGCGGCGGTCGCCGCGGCAATTTGGTCCTCCGGCGCCGAGGACTCGGCCTCGGTGTCACTGTCACTCCCGGCGCCGGGGCTGTACAGTGGCGACAGGTAGGCCTTGATGTCCGGATCCTCGGCCTCATCATAGGCGGTCTTGTTTTCGTTATTCAGGATCCCGGCATCGGCGTTGCACTCCTCCACCAAAAAGCGAATGACCTCCAGATGCCCCATCAGGGCAGCCGTATGCAGGGGAGTCCACCCATCGACATCATAGATGTTGGGATCGGCCCCATGCTGGATGAGGAATTTGCAGAAGTCCAGATCCCCGGCCTCGGCGGCGTAGTGCAAGGCCGCAAGACCGCTGAAGCTCTGTCGCCATCCATCCATGGCAGCCGGGCGCCAGGGAAAGCCCCGGAGGAAGGGGAGGGGGGAGGGCGAGAGGAAAGTCAGAAGGCAGCCGGGGAAAGGTGAGGAGGAGCGGGGGGGGGGGGGGGGGGGGGGGAATATCCCGGGGCATTGTGTGCGCAGGAGGGATGGCACGGGAGACACGGACCTGGTCATTTGGGCTGGCCCGACGCGAGGCAATCCAATCGCGCACGAGCTTGAAATCCGGCGTCGGGGTGAAGGGCACCGGGTCGCCATTGTCATCGAGGGTCTCGTAGATGGGCGCAAAGCGGATGGCATCCACATACACATGGTGATCCTCGAAGTGGATGCGGCGATTGCGCGGCGATCCGATGGGCGATGCCACCGGCGACGGGGGAACCGGCGACCCGTCCGACAGGCACACCTTGCCGGAAGGGGATGCCGTGGCCGTGGCACCGGCACCGGGCAGCTGATGTGCTGCGTGGATTTCCCGCAGCGAGGGCCCGGACCCGATCCCCGACAGGGAGGCCGTGGCCGCCGAGCGATTCCAGTTGGCGATCGACCGAGCCGGCCGGCGAGCCGGGTCATGGGGCTTCCACCCGCCGCGGGGCTCCGGCATGGGCCGATCCTTTTGGTAGTGCAGGGTCATGAAGCCGGGGTTGAGGTCCACCGCCTCGGAGGTGGGGCTGTCAGCCAGCTTGCGATCTTGCTCGCGCTTGGATGCCGCCAGGGCGCAATGCCGGGCCACGGACACCGTGGGCGGCGAGGAAATGCTGTTGCGCCGGGCCCCGAGCCGGGTCGAGTGCGTGGGCGAGCCGGGGGGCAGATCGACCGACGTCGGCCGCGGGGAGGACGACCCGACGCTCGGGGAGTTGGGGGTGGCCGACACCGTGGGGATGGCCACCGGGGTCGAGCCGGTGGTGGTCACCGGCACAGCCGCCGGCGAGGCAATCTCCAGCGGGGCAATGATGGGCTTGGACGGCGGCGACCCGGGCGGGGGGTGCGACTGGTATTGCTGCTCCCCGGCCTCGGCCTGGCTGCCGGAGGAAGCCGCAGCAGAGGCGGCGACAACCGACGGCACACAGGTGGACGAGTGGGGGAAGTCTGTCGTGGTGGCCCGGGTGGTGGGAATGGCAGTGACGGTGGGGCCAGTGGCGGCGGCGGCGGCGGCGGCGGCGGCAGCGGAGGAGGAGGAGGAGGAGGAGGAGGTGCCAGTGGCGCTCGCCGACGGGGGGAGGGTCACCTTGACCCCCGAAGCGGCGGCCGAAGCGGCGGCCGCATCGGCCGTCGGCAGGACCGGCGACGTGGGCGAGTCCGACAACGGGGTGGGCGGCTGAGGGCGCGAGGCAATGCCCGTGACGGCGGTAATGTGCTCATAGGCCGAGATCTTGGACTTGATGGAGGGGAGGTTGAGGGTGAGCTGGGAGCCATTGGCCGCGGCCCCGGCCGGGGGGGCTCCCCCAGCACCGGCGGCCGACGAGCTGCCCAGGGGGGGAGCCGGTCGCGAGGCAGCCGCCCCGGCGCCATTGGCCACGCCGCCGAAGTTGGCTGACAGCCGGAAGATGGAGCTCGGGGACCGCAGGGTCCCGGAGGCCTTGAAGGCGGAGATGGATGCCGCCGCGGGAGCATTGCTGGAGGCCACGGCCTTGGCCACGGTCCCAACGGTCGGCGTGGTCTTCGGGGTGGTCACGGCGCCGCCGGAGCTGGTTGTAGACTTGACCGGGGTCCCGGGGGCGGTGCCCTGTGTCGAGTGATCGGACTCGGACTCGTCGTCATCCCCTGTAAATGGGGCACGCATGTCGCGCGTCACGCGATGCATGGCGAGAGAGGGGAGGTAGAAGGGGGAAGGGGGTGTTAAAAGGGGCTTATATACAGGGGGGGGGGACAAGTGAAGGGAAGCCAAGGGCCGGGCGTAGTGGCCGGCCTGGAAAAGGGCCCAGGGGGGGGGGGGGGGGGGAGGACGCACACTCGTTGGCAAAGAAAGCCTGGCGAACCGAATCGCTGAGGGCACAATCAATCGGGATGTGCCCGCGTCGGTTGCGCACATAACACTCGGCGCCGCGAGCCAGGAGGAGCGAAACAACCTCGGTCATCTCGGAAAAGGCGGCCAAGTGGAGATTGGTATTGTGGACGCCCCAGCGCCGGTGGAGGTCCTCCGGTTCGCAGTACCGCAGGGCCAGGAGCAGGGCCGTGGCCTCCGAGCCCGTCAGCAGGGCATATTGAAAGGGGCTCAGAGGGCCGATCGTCTCGCCGAGGAGCTGGTGCTGTGTGCCGGAAGGGGGGGAGGGGGGGGGAAATCAGCAAAAGCGGCAGAGAGGGCATGTGCCACGCGATGGCGAGCAACGGGACAGACGCACGGCGAGCACGATGTCATCCTCATAATACTGGGCCCCGAGCTTGGTGGTGCGGATCAGGTTCGGGGTCTTGATCAACATCGATTCGACGAGATCCGTGTCATCCTCGGCGATGGCGTCGAAGAAGGAGTCGCGGACGGGAGCGCTGGGACAAGATGGCGTGGGTGGGTGGGTGGGTGGGGGGAGGAGGATTACAGCGTGGCAAGGAGGAAGAAGGGTGAGGGAGGACAGGGGGGGGGGAGGAACAGGGGGAACGCCATCATGGGTAGGAAGAGCGGGAGGGTGGCAGATGGAGAGGCGGAGAGTGGGCGCACCTGACGCCTGCAATAAGCCCCTGGTCGGAGGACTTGATCGCTGGAGCAGCCATGACTTGGGAAGTTAGGCCGACGGTGGGCGCTGCAAGAGGGCTCGGGGACGGCGGGACTGTGGCGAAATCAACGGCTCCGGAATGGCGCGGACGAGAGGTGCAACGGCGAGACAGGGGATGGGAAGGGGGGGGGGAAGGGGAGGGCGGGAGGAAGCGCTGCCAGCGGGGCGGGACCAGGCGGGGGGGACTGGGCGCGCCGGGGCGGGAGGGACGTGTGCAGAGGGGGGGGGGAAAGGTGTGTGGCTACAAGGGACAGGGGGAGGGGGGGCAGTTGTCGACCGGCGAGATGCGGGGCGGCGAGGGGGGAGGGAAAAAAATGATGTACTTGTGGCTGATGCACACCTCCCGGCCGTGTGCTTGTGGCCACCGCCGGGCGGGGTCTTCACAAGGGGGCGGTGGGGAACCGGTGCATCGGAGCCATGCACGATGATTTGCATCCCGTAGCGCCCGGGCCCTCACGGGCCCGGGCCGACCCCCAACGGGACACCGGGGACACGGGTGCGCGAGCTCCTTCTTTGCTCTCGCCCCCCCCCCCCCCCCCCCGCCGGAGGGGAGGCGGGATTCGTCGGCGCACATGCCGGCAGCCACTACGACCGGAGGACAATCGGACTGATGTGATGATGGCCAGGGAAGCCGGGGGTGGGGGGGGGGGACTGGTCGCCGCGGAAATGAAATGAAACGACATTCACCGGCCGCGCGCCCAGCGCAATCGACCGAGGGGAGACGCGCCGTGCATGCGAAAATGAGCGCGCGGCGCCGAGGCAGGCAGAGGAAGAGGCAATAATTGGTGTGCGACGCGGATCGGCCCCGCCCCCCCCGCCGCCGCCCGGCGGGGCGCGGGTGGTGGTTGGGGCGTGGATGAGGCCTGCCCTGCTTCTTCCCGGCCCCCGCCCCCACGCCCCCACGCCCCCCCTCCCCCGGGGGGGCTGCTCGGGGGGCCTCAGCTGGGGCCGTTGCCAGAGAAAGAGAGAGAGAGAGAGAGAGAGAGAGAGGAAGAGAGCACTCTCCCTCGGCCTGCTGGGTGCTACCGAAACGGGTACTGGGGAGGGGAAATGAAAGTGCCCGGAGTCGGTGCTTGGTGCCCCGCGCCCACGCCCCCCCGCCCCCCTCCCCCCTTCCGCCCCCCGAGGGAAAGCACTAATTTAATATTCGCGGGGATATATTACATCTTGGGGGGGGGGAGGGGCACCCGGTCGCCCATCCCTGGCCCGTCTTCGCCGCCCCCCGCCTCCGTCGCTCGCCTGGGCGCACCCGGGAGCCCCCGCCGGCAGGCCATCAACAACGGGGCTGGGGTTGCTGGGGTTCATGCCCTTTTCTCTGTCTCTCGCCCTAGCTCTTTGTCTTCCGCCAAATTGCACGCACAGGTCCGTCGGGGCACGGTTGTGCGTGTCGAGGCCTAAGGGCGGGCCCGGCGCGCAACAATCCTCCCAGGGGGGTCCAAGGCAGAGACATCCGAACAAGCGAGGGGGACGGGCGAGGAAGAAGAAGAAAAAAAAAAACGTCGGACACCTCCCTGCCGGGCCGTGGACCCCCAGGGCCCGTGGCTCGTCTGCCCCGCCCCCCTCCCCCGGGCGTTCAGCCGCCTCCCCTTGCGTGGCTGTGTGCCTGCACCCCGATTCAACCCGGATTCGCCTCCCTCGG